TGTTTAAGAATAAGTTCCATGGTTGGTTGTATATTGTTTATTCCAAGTTTGTATGTATGGAGTGCTAAAGACAGTCAAAAATGCTTTTCTGCGAGCTTGTTCTTAGTCAGTTTCTGCGAGCTTGTTCTTAGTCAGTTTCAACAAGAGCCATGAGCTATTTGGATCTCAATTTCAAAAACATGAGCTCATTACTTGCTTCCAATTTTTCAACTTTTCGAATGGTAATTTCTTACATTGATGTATTCATTTCTTGTCATTAGATTCTTGTTGTTTAATGCTGACATATTGCTGCGAAGATTTCTCTACAATGAACTGATTTGAATTTTGCAGTGTTGCATTGATTCTTCTATTGAGGTTTGAGCAAGGTAGACATGAGATGGTGGAAGTTGTTGGTGACTGATTCGATTCTATCTTCTGTGGGAGGAGTTGTTTAAGATTCATCGGATTTTTTATTTGTGCTCTGTATTGCTGGTGTTTTATTCAAACTTAAATGGTGATTTGTGCTATTTGGCTCGGCAGAATGCCGATGCTGGTGTTTTATTCGAACTTTTTTACTTGTGCTCTGTATTGCTGGTGTTTTATTCAAACTTATATGCTGATCTGTGCTGTTTGGCTCGGCAGAATGCCGATGCTGGTGTTTTATTCGAACTTTTTCATTTGTGCGTGTTTTATTCAAACTTAAATGCTGATTTGTGGTGTTTTATTCAAACTTAAATGCTGATTTGTGCTGTTTGGCTCGGCAGAATGCTGATGCTGGTGTTTTATTTGAACTTTTTTATTTGTGCCTGGTGTTTTATTTGAACTTTTTTATTTGTGCCTGGTGTTTTATTCAAACTTAAATGCTGATTTGTGCTGTTTGGCTCAGCAGAATGCCGATCTGGACAACAGCAGCCCTACGAATCGTCTTCCGATTGGTGAAGGCCAAGGCCAAATATGAAAAAAAGCTGGACTGCCCCATCCTGCTGGAGCAGCTGGAGAACACGATCAATGAATCGCTCACCAAGCTTAAGAATGCTCCGGCCATCCTCGTCAAGAGTTTCTCGGACGTGAATTGCATCAAGGAGCAAAATCCAGAAGGAGTTGTTCAAGATATGGTGGTGGTCGATGAACAAAATACATGGGGAATTCCGGCGAATACTCCGCCATTTGTCCGTAAGGTATACTTCACTATAATGGAGTCAACCATCGATGCCAATGTGACGGCAATAATCTCTTGGGAAGATGAATCTAACTTTGTGATTCATGATTTCGAGGGTTTCAGTACTATGATGAACAAGTATTTCAAGAATGGGAGATGGATGTCCCAGTTCACTTGCCTTGTAAGTAACCTTCTGATTAATAGTTTTATTTTTTATTTTTGATATTTTGAATTATTACTTTATGTAGGTTTTAATTTCGACCTTTATATATACATATCAATAGTTGCTCATTAATTACAGGGCATTCATTCTGAATTCGTGAACTGGCATTTGCAAAAGGGGCGTCCTGATTTGCTCAAACAACTCAAGTATTCGAGGCGAATTGAAAATCCTCAAGCCCAACAAGAAAATGAACCGGCTAGCTTGAGTGAAACTAAAAGACCCGCAACAGTCTAGGTTTGAAATTTGAATCTTGATTGATTGATTGTGAAGTTTTCTAAGTTGTTTGTTTAAGAATAAGTTCCATGGTTGGTTGTATATTGTTTATTCCAAGTTTGTATGTATGGAGTGCTAAAGACAGTCAAAAATGCTTTTCTGCGAGCTTGTTCTTAGTCAGTTTCTGCGAGCTTGTTCTTAGTCAGTTTCAACAAGAGCCATGAGCTATTTGGATCTCAATTTCAAAAACATGAGCTCATTACTTGCTTCCAATTTTTCAACTTTTCGAATGGTAATTTCTTACATTGATGTATTCATTTCTTGTCATTAGATTCTTGTTGTTTAATGTCGAAATATTGCTGCGAGGATTTTTCTACAATGAACTGATTTGAATTTTGCAGTATTGCATTGATTCTTCTATTGAGGTTTGAGCAAGGTAGACATGAGATGGTGGAAGTTGTTGGTGACTGATTCGATTCTATCTTCTGTGGGAGGAGTTGTTCAAGATTCATCGGATTTTTTATTTGTGCTCTGTATTGTTGGTGTTTTATTCAAACTTAAATGGTGATTTGTGCTGTTTGGCTCGGCAGAATGCCGATGCTGGTGTTTTATTCGAACTTTTTCATTTGTGTGTGTTTTATTCAAACTTAAATGCTAATTTGTGGTGTTTTATTCAAACTTAAATGCTGATTTGTGCTGTTTGGCTCGGCAGAATGCCGATGCTGGTGTTTTATTTGAACTTTTTTATTTGTGCCTGGTGTTTTATTCAAACTTAAATGCTGATTTGTGCTGTTTGGCTCAGCAGAATGCCGATCTGGACAACAGCAGCCCTACGAATCGTCTTCCGATTGGTGAAGGCCAAGGCCAAATATGAAAAAAAGCTGGACTGTCCCATCCTACTGGAGCAGCTTGAGAACACGATCAATGAATCGCTCACCAAGCTTAAGGATGCTCCGGCCATCCTCGTCAAGAGTTTCTCGGACGTGAATTGCATCAAGGAGCAAAATCCAGAAGGAGTTGTTCAAGATATGGTGGTGGTCGATGAACAAAATACATGGGGAATTCCGGCGAATACTCCGCCATTTGTCCGTAAGTTATACTTCACTATAATGGAGTCAACCATCGATGCCAATGTGACGGCAATAATCTCTTGGGAAGATGAATCTAACTTTGTGATTCATGATTTCAAGGGTTTCAGTACTATGATGAACAAGTATTTCAAGAATGGGAGATGGATGTCCCAGTTCACTTGCCTTGTAAGTAACCTTCTGATTAATAGTTTTATTTTTTATTTTTGATATTTTGAATTATTACTTTATGTAGGTTTTAATTTCGATGATTATATATACACATCAATAGTTGCTCATTAATTACAAGGCATTCATTCTGAATTCGTGAACTGGCATTTGCAAAAGGGGCGTCCTGATTTGCTCAAACAACTCAAGTATTCGAGGCGAATTGAAAATCTCCAAGCCCAACAAGAAAATGAACCGGCTAGCTAGAGTGAAACTAAAAGACCTGTGACAGTCTAGGTTGAAACTTGATTGATTGATTGATTATGAAGTTTTCTAAGTTGTTTGTTTAAGAATATGTTCCATGGTTGGTTGCATATTGTTTATTCCGAGTTTGCATGTATGGAGTGCTAAAGACAGTAAAAAATGCTTTTCTGCAAGCTTGTTCTGTTTCAGTTTCAACAAGAGCTTTGAGCTATTTGGATCTCAATTTCAAAAACATGAGCTCATTACTTGCTTCCAAATTTTCAACTTTTTTGAATGTTAGTTCTATTGGTTTTCTAATGGTAATTTCTTACACTGATGTATTCATTTCTTGTCATTAGATTCTTGTTGTTTAATATCGAAATATTATCGCGAAGATTTTTCTACTATTAACTGATTTGAATTTTGCAGTGTTGCAGTGATTCTTCTGTTGAGATTTAAGCAAGGTAGAGATGAGATGGTCTGATTCGATCCTGTATTCTGTGGGAGGAGTGTGCAATTGGTGCTCTTGGACGACTTACTTTTATGTTTATTAATAATTTCAATTTGATTGTGTGGTGCGTATCCTAGTGTTAGTCCTTTGGATATTCTAACCAGTAGAGTTTTCTTAGCATGTCACTGCTATTACCTTGTTGGTAATCTTTTACAGTGCACTTGCTGTTAGCCAATTACAATGTTAATTTCCCTATATGTTCGGATAGTTATGAATCTTAACTTAATTTCGCTATATTATTGAAAATATTTAGATATCGAAATCTTGAGATTTGTATATGGTTCAATATCTTAGTGGATGCGGTATTAGGTTTTTACCTTTGCATCCTAGATTCGAGACATCCCTCCCCCTTACTATAGTGTAAGGGCATATTTACTCGACAAAAAATGGAAAAAAAAGGAAGGAATCGAAGTAGGAGAATTGAAGAAAATAAATTAGATCATCTAGTCCCTTTTTTAGTAAACGCATGAAACTCTGGAATTAAAATAATTCTACTTCTTATTCCTTACTAATTTGCCACGTGTTTCTTGCCTTTATTTTACTAATGTATGTTGAAAAAATCGTCACAAGTCATACAAAAATCAGAAAAAGAATACGAAAGTTGCTACGGATTATTAATGCAAGTTGCAACTATTCAGAATTTCAACCTCATAAAAACTGTAGATACACTTGCATGCCGGCCTAAAGATGTGCATTCAAAATTTGTCATGGCAACCAATGAGTTTGTTAGATCATGGTTGGTCATGGCAAGAAAGATTTCATGCTTATCTTAAAAGATTAGTGAGGCTTTAAGGCCTAGGAAGATAGAATAGCTTCATATGTTTAACCAATTTCATGCATTTCAGCAATCACAATTATGAGAGAATTGTGGGGTGACGTAAATGTCATTAAGATATAATAGTATTTACTTAACAACAGGTAGAATACCTAAAGATGACAATATCTAATTCTAAGAAGAATTTGCTTCTATGAGTATGAGATGACTAAATTCTCTAAAGCTCTTATGAATTCGAGATTTGGTCAGGATCAAAATGAACACAACCGTATAAACCGTTATTTATTAGGATTAGTGATGTGGGTTGCTTATTGTCTCGATTTACTGTTACGGTGAGCATTTCAAGATCTTCCACATCCATTGCGTCACCAAGTAAATTCGACAAGTATTCACTAGGGTAGGTTCAAATCTAAAAAACACTTCTCCCAATACATTTCTTGTCCGCATGTACTCTCAAATTCTTCTAATTTTTTATTTATGTGAGGGATTGTCGGAAATTCTATATATACTAAAACCCAAACATCTGATTACTGTTCTAGGGCAGCGTGCGGACCAAAATACCTCTCAATTCGTTTGTTAAGCTAATTTTTTGCCATATTTTCTACAGTAAAATGACTTCCTCGCCCTCCCAGGCCACGCGTTCACCTCTCCGGTTTCGATTTCTTTGGGTGCTTCGGTTCTCTCTCTCCATTATCAGCTTTTCTTATTTTGATTGACCCCGGCTCTCCCCGTCTCCCTCTTCGCCTCACTCTTCTCTGCACAAGCTGCTCGATTTAGAGCTTCACCATATCTCTTCGAATCAAGGTGTCTATTTCTCTCCCTATTTTCCCAATCTAGGTTTCCCTCTGTCTCTGTGGAAAAACCCTAGATATCGCCGCTGCCGGAGAGTCGAAGCTCCGCCCTTTGAGCTTCAATCGGCCTTGCCCATCGCCTCCTCGCGGCGCCTCCACCTAAATCCCTCTGGTAAATTTCCCAACTTTTCCCCCAATTCTTTTTTCTCTCTATTTCTGAGTATGAAAGTATGATGCTCAAGTTTTTTCAATTTTTTTAATTTTTTTTCGATTTAATTTGAACTGTTAAGATATTTTACATTGTGGATTCACTTAAAGATGGTAGAGAGGTATGAATCTAGCAACCCACCTTTTTTCTTGAAGATTTGAATCGATTGAGCGATAATGGTGTGTAGAGAACTTGATTCAAAAAAAATAAAGCACAAAAAACCCACAAAAATTGTGAACTTACTGCCATTTTTCTGTGCACCAGATTTAGCAAAACCCCAAGAAATTAATGTCAGAGTAGAACTTCTGGACCAAAACCGTCCACGAATATGGCAACCCCAAAAGCTTTTCTACAAAACCCCTTAACGAAGCACCAAGAGAGAGGAATTATTTTAGAGAGAGAGAGGATGAGGGTGTAGAAAGAGAAAGGAAAGAATTCTAGAGGGTTTTATCAACCATTGACGGACGCTGCCCGTCATGTTTGACCATTCTCTCTCTGTGAAAGTCTCTGCTTCTTCTCCGTTCAAAGTTCAAGCATCTCTCTCAGCGAGTTAAGACTCCGTCTAAATTTTTCATTTGAAGGTTATGGCTGAGTTGGAAAGATTAGGCAATAGATAGAGTTAACCAGAAGGATCGAGTCAACGGGGGGATACAGTTATGGAGTATGATATTAAATATTTTTTTTTGTCATGATTGCAGGTTTTTGAAAAAAAATTCACCTTCAGAGATTGAGTAAAAATATATAAAGGCTGTTGGTGATCGGTATAAGACAAAATAAAAAAGGTATGAATAAAATGTTTGAGATTATATGATTTGATTTGATTTTGTAATGTACAGAATTAGCTTTATATTTTTCAGATTAAATGGGTTTAGGACTGTATTGGTTAAATCTAATTAAATTTTTGGAATTAGCTATGAATATGGAACCATGAATGTAAGATATAGTTGATAGTTGATAAATTTGCAAATTCATTACAATTTCATAAAAAATACTAAGACTAAAGATCTTAAATTCATAAAGTATCCAAAATTTGATAAGTTTGTAATAAGGTGGTGAAAGCTGCCTCTAAGCATTTCAAGAAAAAAGAAGAAAGATCAGATGGATCATGTGAGGTTCTTCACTTATTTCATATCACATGGAAATATTTAAATCCTCATTTGTTATTCTTTATTGTTTCATTCAATTTGTTAAATTCGTTTAATTGTCTTTGTAAATCTGCATTAGGAATAGGAGTGACATTACTCTGTAGAAGAAATATGTTCTTTGTTTATTTTAAAATTAATTATGTGTGAATTTACTTGGAAATGTTCATATGAATTTGGTGTAATAGCATTTCACTGTTTTTTCTTTTCTTTTCAGACAACTTGGTGGAGATCAGATATCTGATGTGTTTGATCAGCATCTCCATGTTGCTTTGAGTAAGCGCCTCCTGTATATATGGATGGATTCACCTTGCAAACACTGATCACTAGAATATTCAAAAGTTTTCATTGGTCATTTCACTTAGTATACCTGCTGATTGAGAAGAAAAATAATTAATTTGTAAGTTACTCTAATAACATTAGTTGTCGGTTTATTGAATTATTATTCTAAGTGATACTTCACTAAAACTATGGTATCTCATTGAATCAATCTTTGAATTAAATAGCGAGTTGAAATTATAAAGAATTTTTTATTGGTAAATAGTGATGAGTATTTAGAGTTTTGCTTACATATTTTAAGGTTTTGAAAAAAATCTGTCAGCTTAGTTATCAAATTTATTAGGAGTTTTAAAACAATTGTGGCTTCCTTCTGATTCAAATTCGAATTCATTATTACTTTAGGTTTTTGAAGTGTTTCCCCAATTAGGAAGTAGATGGTTTTTCTTTGGATGTGAGTGAAAAAAAACTTTTGACGTTCTTGGTGATTAGTCAATCAGCTGCTTCATAGTATTACCTTAGATGCCAATTTATTTGAAAATGAGTGGACAGAATCGGAGATCAAAATTGACAAAATAAGTTGCAAACATTTTGATCGCACTGCAGTTTTGCCAACGATGGATCCATATGCATTTTGTTCAGAGCTGATTGTTGCAGGTTTCTTTGTGTTCTCAGCGGAAAGCTCTGATTGTTGCAGAGATTGCATTGTTTTTGGCTCAGAGGAAAATTACAATTGTCAATTTGGATGCTGCCAACGATGCATAACTGTATCCTTTTCTCTATTTTTTTGTGTTTTTTTCTCTTTCTAATTTGCAGTATTGCATTGTATTCCAATGTAGAGTGTTGAGCCCTTAATGAATTTAGTTATGAATGTTTCGTGAACATGGAGGATCTTATAAAACTCAGTCATGTGATGGTGGAGCGCTCTCTGGTCCCAATGGAGGTTAGTGTTCTTTATTGAATCTTTAAAAGTTCAGTGTTTGGATAAAGTAAACAGTATAGTTTTTTTTTGGTTTGTGAATTTGGAGATAGGTGACAAATTTTCTTTTAAAGATAGGAAGTTATCGGAAAGATAGGTGACAATTTGGAGACGTTAGATGGTAGGAACAATGGTTATTGACTTATTTTTATTATTTAAGCATCTAAGGATGATTTTCTGTTTACTAATGTCCTAAAAGCTCTTCCTCTATTTCTATTTTAATCCCTTTATTCTCATTTTGTCTACAAACCAATCTGCACCAAACTTGATCATTCTTTAAATATCTGTATATATTGTGCTTTACGTTCTTTTATCCTTTGAAACATATTTTCTCACACAATTTCTAATCCCGCAGCAACGCGCGGGCACTATTTCTAATTATATACTATAATATAAATATTGTAATATATAATTTTTATAATTAAATAAAAAATAATGTTAATCGCTTTCAAAGAAAGATTATGTCATTTGTATTTAATTGGTGCCATCCCTTGCTAAAACGTGTCAGATGGTTTAAGACCAATAGACACATAATTTATCAAAGGGTGCTATGAGTTTTATTTAAACTCAAGCACTTTATAAGACCTACTCCAACCATTAAAGTAAAACTCAAATTTTAGGTTCTAAACTTATCCTAACTTGCTCAAACCTGTTTGGAGATTCTACGGTTTCAAATTCGGAGAAAATAAACAGATCGGGTATTGGGAATCACTCCAAACACGATTTGCCTCGTTGCCATCCCCAATCTGAAACTTAAAAATCTAAAGTGATTGATGATGGATTGGTATTAATTCATAGCTTTGCTAATTGCTTAAAACTTATTTGTTATTTGAGATAATATTTGGTTGTGGGATATATAAATTAGGCGTTTAGTCAGTGAAGACGTCACGTTTTCAAAAAAAAGTTTCTTCCAAGAAGTTGAACAGAATGAGATAAACTTTACCAAATAATAATAATAATAATAAAAGTCTTTTTGAGACCGAATCCTTACTCATTTGGTCGGTCAAATGGGGCGTTTTCTCCAAATTCTGGTTTGATTAGGAATCTTTCTTTTAATAATCCATTTGGTTATTTTTTTATTTGTTGGAGGACCTAATTTGGGTAGGATTTAATTTCTTTTAATAATTATATATATAGGTTTTTTTTAGGCGATATAGAATTGGAGTACTCGTGAATATAAGGTATTTATATTAACATTGATTTTGATGATATATTTCTTTGCAATCATTAATATGAGTAAGTAATTCTCACGAAATTAGAATAAATATGTCGTTTTTTTTAATATATACATATAAACGGTTGTTATGTATGCAATATGCATGCATACTTTGAATCACTACTCATCGGTTTAAAATTATTTATAAGTATGTTTGAGTTCAAAATACAAGTTTGGTCAGAAAATGAGTAATTTGGAATATCAGCCATGCACGCCACGTGGGTTTGGTAGGTATTAGTGGTAAAATATGGCATCCCGGTAAAGTTCATTAATGCTTCATGTGATTGATATTTGCAAGTTTACTTAAACGATGAGGATGCAACTGTTGGGTTCGGTTCGGGATGGTCACCCAGTCGTCCAACCTCATTACCACAGCGGAAGAACGACGTCGACTTACCATCAAAGCCGTCTAGCCTGCCCAACGCCCGTCTAGCCGCCGCCTAATACCCTTTTCGATTTCTTCAACGATTTTGGTTTAATGGCGGCGTAGGAGCTGCCTAGGCCGCGTTTTCGAACATTGCTAGTGAGGCTTTACGTCCTAGGAAGATAGAATAGCTTCATATGTTTCAACTAATCTCATGCATTTCAGCAATCACAATTATGAGAGAATTGTGGGGGTGACTTAAATGTCATTAAGATATAATGATATTTACTTAATACCATGTAGAATACCTAAAGGTGACAATATCTAATTCTAAGAAGAATTTGCTTCTATGGGTATGAGATGGCTAAATTCTCTAAAGCTCTCATGAATTCGAGATTTGTTCAGGATCAAAATGAACACAACCGTATAAACCGTTATATATTAGGATTAGTGATGTGTGTTGCTTATTGTCTCGGTTTAGCAGTTCAAGATCTTCCACATTCATTCTGTCACTAAGTAAATTCGACAAGTATTCACTAGGGTAGGTTCAAATCTAAAAGACACTTCTCCCGATACATTTCTTGTCCGCATGTACTCTCAAATTCTTCTAATTTTTTTATTTATGTGAGGGATTGTCAGAAATTATATACTATAATATAAATATAGTAATATATAATTTTTACAATTAAATAAAAAATAATGTCGATCGCTTTCAAAGAAAGATTATGTCATTTGTATTTAATTGGTGCCATCCCTTGCTAAAACGTGTCAGATGGTTTAAGACCAATAGACACATAATTTATCAAAGGGTGCCATGAGTTTTATATAAACTCAAGCACTTCATTAGATCTACTCCAACCATTGAAGTAAAACTCAAGTTTTAGGTTCTAAATCTACCCTAACTTGCTCCAATCCGTTTGGAGATTCTACGGTTTCAGATTTGGAAAAAATAAACGGATCGGGTATTGGGATGGCACTCCAAACATGATTTGCCCCGTTGCCATCCCCAATCTGAAACTTACAAAATCTAAAGTGATTGATGATGGGTCGATATTAATTTATAGTTTTGCTAATTGCTTAAAACTTATTTGTTATTTGAGATAATATTTTGGTTGTGGGATATATAAATTAGGGGTTTAGACAGTCAAGACGTCACGTTTTTAAAAGAAAGTTTCTTCCGAGAAGTTAAACAAAATGCGATAAATTTTACCAATAATAATAATAATAATAAAAAGGGCAAAAGACAGTTTACTACCCTCATGTTTAGTGGTTTTCAACATTTAGTACATCAATTTTTTTTCATCCCAGAGTCATACTTAAAGTGTAAATTTTGGAACAGTCTTATACATTCGTTAGTCAAACTGTTAGTTCTCCCGTTAAGTGATGACGTGGCGCCCTGATTGGACGCCACGTGTCATTAAAAATATTAAAAAATTATTTAAATAAAAATAATATTAAAAAATATTTAAAAAATTATTTAAATAAAAATAATATTAAAAAATATTTAAAAAATTATTTAAATAAAAATAATATTAAAATAATAATAAAATATTTTTTTTTCTTCTTCTCTTCTTCTTCTTCTTCTGGGTTCGGTTTCTCTCTTTTTTTTTTCTTTTTTTTCTTCTTCTTCTTCCTTCTCCTTCCTCCTCCTTCTTCTTCTTCTTCTTCTTCTTCTTCCTCTATAATATTAAAAAAAAAAAAAAACCCACCTGCAAAGAAGGAGAAGGAGGAGGAAGAGAAGAAAAAAAAAAAATACCCGAACCCAGAAGAAGGAGGAAGAAGAAGAAGGAGGAGGAGCAGAAGAAGAAGAAAGAAAGGAAAAAAAAAATCGAATCCAGAAGGAGGAAGAAGAAGAAGAAGAAGAAGAAGAAGGAAGAAGGAGGAGGAGGAGAAGAAGAAAGAAAAAAAAAAAAAAACCGAACCCAGAAGAAGAAGAGGAAGAAGAAGAAAGAAGAAGGAAGAAGAAGGAGGAGAAGGAAAAAAAAAAAACAACCGAACCCAGAAAAGAAGAGGAAGAAGAAGGAAGAAGAAGGAGAAGAAGAAGGAGGAGGAGAAAGAAGAAGAAGGAGAAGGAGGAGGAAGAAGAAAAAAAAAGGGCAAAAGACAGTTTACTACCCTCATGTTTAGTGGTTTTCAACATTTAGTACATCAATTTTTTTTCATCCCAGAGTCATACTTAAAGTGTAAATTTTGGGACAGTCTCATACATCCGTTAGTCAAACTGTTAGTTCTCCCGTGAAGTGATGACGTGGCGCTCTGATTGGATGCCACGTGTCATTAAAAATATTAAAAAATTATTTAAATAAAAATAATATTAAAATAATAATAAAAAAAAAATTTCTTCTTCTCTTCTTCTTCTTCTTCTTCTGGGTTCGGTTTCTCTCTTTCTTTTTTTTCTTTTTTTTTCTTCTTCTTCCTTCTCCTTCCTCCTCCTTCTTCTTCTCCTTCTTCCTCTATAATATATAAAAAAAAAAAAAACCCACCTGCAAAGAAGGAGAAGGAGGAGGAAGAGAAGAAAAAAAAATAATACCCGAACCCAGAAGGAGGAAGAAGAAGAAGGAGGAGCAGAAGAAGAAGAAAGAAAGGAAAAAAAAATCGAATCCAGAAGGAGGAAGAAGAAGAAGAAGAAGGAAGAAGGAGAAGGAGGAGGAGAAGAAGAAAGAAAAGAAAAAAAAAAACCGAACCCAGAAGAAGAAGAGGAAGAAGAAGGAAGAAGAAGGAAGAAGAAGAAGAAGGAGAAGGAAAAAAAAAACAACCGAACCCAGAAAAGAAGAGGAAAAAGAAGGAAGAAGAAGGAGAAGAAGAAGGAGGAGGAGAAGGAAGAAGAAGGAGAAGGAGGAGGAAGAAGTAAAAAAAAAAAAAAGAAAAAAAAAGAAGAGAAATCGAACCCAGAAAAGAAGAGGAAGAAAAAGGAGAAGAAGAAGGAGGAGGAGAAGGAAGAAGAATGAGAAGGAGGAGGAAGAAGAAAAAAAAAAGAAAAAAAAAAGAAGAAGAGAAACCGAACCCAGAAGAAGAAGAAGAAAAAGAAGAAGAAGAAGAGAAGAAAAAAAATTATTTTTTATTATTATTTAAATATTTTTTATTTTAATATTATTTTTATTTAAATAAATTTTTAATATTTTTAATGACACGTGGCGCCCAATCAGGGCGCCACGTCATCATTTAACGGGAGAACTAACAGTTTAACTAACGGATGTATGAGACTGTCCCAAAATTTACACTTTAGGTATGACTCTGGGATGAAAAAAAATTGATGTACTAAATGTTAAAAACCACTAAATATGAGGGTAATAAACTGTCTTTTGCCCTAATAATAATAACAGTCTTTTTGAGACCGAATCCTTACTCATTTGGTCGGTCAAATGGGGCGTTTTCTGTACAGTCCAAATTCTGGTTTGATTAGGAATCTTTCTTTTAATAATCTATTTGGTTTTTTTATTTGTTGGAGACCTAACTTGGGTATGATTTAATTTCTTTTAATAATTATATATATATATATAATTTTTTTTTACCCGATATAGAATTGGAGTACTCGTGAATATAAGGTATTTATATTAACATTGATTTTGATGATATTCTTTCTTTGCAATCATGAATATGAGTAAGTAATTCTCACGAAACTAGAATAAATATATCATTTTTTTTTAATATATACATATAAACTGTTGTTACGTATGCAATATGCATGCATACTATGAATTACTAATCATCGATTTAAAATTATTTATAAGTATGTTTGGGTTCAAAATACAAGTTTGGTCAGAAAATGTGTAATTTGGAATGGGCCATGCACGCCACGTGGGTATTAGTGTTAAAATATGGCATCCCGGTAAAGTTCAATAACGCTTTATGTGATTGATATTTGGAAGTACTTAAACGACGAGGATGCAACTGTTGGGTTCGGTTCGGGGTTCCGCTCACTTCTCTCTCTCCCTCCCTCAATTTTCACTTTCTCTGTGCGGCTGAGGCGGGTGATTGGCAGTCAGATTCAGCTCTTTCTTTCTCCCTCTCTCTCTATCTATCTCAGAGAGTGCTTTAGGCCATGGGTAATTAGGAAGAATTAAATTAATTTAAAAGCACTCAACTTTGATTTGTCTGAGAGTTTTTGGAGTATTTATATGCTCAAATTTGTTTGCTTGTCAGTCTGATTCTGTGTTCACCTGATGTAATTGAATCAATTGATTGGCAGAATCCCTTGTTTCTTCTGTGGATTAATTGGATTAGAAATTTGTGTATTATTTACCCTTGACATGCTTGAGCAAGCCCAAAACCATATTTTATTTAGTTGGATTTTTCTTGCTTATTACTAACATGTTTCGTTTCTGGGGTGCAGTTGAAATCATTGAAGCCTCTTGCTTTTGCCCTTTGATCATCTTTATCACCGCTTGAGTGTCAAAATCAGCGGTTTCCTGGTCTTGAACGAAAAGGTGTTTATGTCAGTCCTAATTTTTGTATATCTTGTGCAGTTTCGGGTATAGAATACCCTCAGAAGCTGACAGCCTGACTTTAATTATGCATCCTGCCATGAGAGGCCATAACAGTACTTGTGAGTTTCCATGGTTTGAAACAAGAGCCAGTTGTGGTAGGTACATATAATGACTTAGTTCTGTGCTGCACAAGCGAGTTTAACCAGCGTGATTACTACATCTGCAATCCATATACAATCCAGTGGGTTCCTCTTCCTCCCCCACCACAAGTGTGCAAGTTTGTACTAGTGGGATTCATCTGTGATCTTCCCTACTATAACAACAAGGAAGATTATCAGCCAGGAGATATGATCCAGCTTAATGCGAATTATAGGTGCAGGGTTGTGAGATTAATGGATCCTGATGATGCCGATGACGAGGACAAGGACATAATATATTTCAGCAACTTCAAACTCATCGACATGAGAGATTTCTGCACGTTCAAAGTGCAGATCTTCTCTTCTGAGACTGGTGAATGGAAGGAGACAACTGTAAGATCCGAGAGAACTGTAACATCCGCGTACAACTTTACTTTGGAAATGATGAGTGTCTGTACTGGCGTTGCTTCCAAACTAATGCTGTATTGGATGGGCGATGATGATGTCATTCTTATTCAGTTGGATCCGTTCATGATCGACAAGAGTGCTAGTGCTACTTTATCTACCTGTTATAGACACCGTATCAGGAATGAGTGGGACGCTCTTCCAATGAGGTGCATAGCAGCGTATGATGGGGGTGTGCGGATGTGCAACTAGGACTATGTTTCCGCCTATCTGTCTGTTTGTGAGTTGAAGGAAGAAGAAGAAGATGATGATGATCCGAGGGTGAGTATCCATGGAGGATCAAAGAGTTTGTTTGTGAAACTTAAGAAGAGGGTTTATTTGGTGGATGAAACAAAGGTTGTGATAGGTCCATGGACAGAGATTGAGGGGGTATTTTTTGACCAAAATAACGAGGATACCTTGTATATGATAGTAGATACGAAGAAGCTCCATGGTCGGATAAAAGATACTATCAGGTGCAACATTGTAACCGGAGAGGTGTCAAAGATTGTTGGAAACAGAAAATTTAATTGTTTCAGATTCTTCCCGATTGTGATCCTATGGTGGCCGACTCCAGTCCCTCGACTAGCGCAAGGTGCAATATCCAAATAGCGCAGAGGTGTCAAAGTAAATTTTTTCAAATTCTTCCCGGCCGTTTGAAAGCTTATGTTTCCTTCTTGTTTGGTTGGTTCGATGGTGAAGTTTGCTACGCTGTGGACTCAAACAAGTGAAGCTGGAGATGGGTAGGAAATTGGCAGGCGGAATAGGGGGTGGCATTGGCATGAATGTACAGATTTCTACATTGTATTTGTTCATCTCTCAAAGCCGTCGTCTTGTTAACTCATTATGCTTTATTTTATTTTCTTTGCTTCAATTTCAATAACTCATTCCGCTTTATTGCATGATGTCTTCGGTTAGCTTCAAGGGCTTCAAATCTTTTCTTATAGTCTCTTTCCAAGTCTTCCTATATATTTCTTTACCTCTTTGGCCGCAACCTTCTATCTCGTAATCATATCTTCTAACCAGAGCGGAGAATCTGTATGTTTCATTTCACATGTCCAAAAACACAATTGAAATTTTATGCAATTAATCAATTTGTTCAAAGTCAATGATTTGTTTTTTCTTTGACCGTGTCCGTGAGAATCAATTTCACGAGAGGACTAAGGGTGCGTTTGTTGCACCAAATTATTTTGGATTGGACTAACTTTAGGGATTAAGCTGGACTAGCTTAGAATAAAGTAAGTTGGACTAATTTAATTGAATGTTTGGTTTCGTATCGAACTAAAAAGCAAGATAATAAAAAAAATAATAATAAATTCTATGTTTTTCTTTTGCTTTTTCTTTTTCTTGTTCTAGGACACTCTCTTTGGACTAAGAAACCTCTCTCTTTCCTTTACCTTTTTTCCGTCCAAATTCCACAACTCTGGACTAAGAATCTCTCTTCCCTCTCCTTTTTTTTCGTCCAAATTCCACAACTTTCTCCCTCCATTTCAATCAATAAAGCTTCCAAATCACAAAACGAAACACAATCACAAAATTCAATTGAAATCAAAATCAAAATCACAGCTAAGTCTCCTGTATTCGTGACGGCGACGCTCTAATTTCGATCCCGACTTATGTATGGGTCGCGAACCAGGATCGACTAGTCAAGAATCTCATATCCTTGAGCTTGGAAATCACCAGGTTAGGTCAGTTTGTGCTTGGTCTGGTGTGATTTCGCAGGATAGAGGATAGAAGAAAGGACGCGAAGAGAGAGGGAGATGACATGATTCTGTGACACAAACAACCATAAGAGAACGAGAGAAGTAGATAGAGGAGGTGAGAGCAGAGTAAGGTGTCTTAGTAATCCAAAGGGGCATTTGTTTGCCCTCGTTAAAGTTTGATGGACCGGACGAAATTTAAGATTAGTCCAGTCCTATATTTGTTCCCAGCAAGGATTAACTTTAGTGAGACTAACTCTCACTCGCCTCGACTAAAGACAAGACTATCTGGTCTTAGGGAGTACCCCCGAGAACCATGGGACTAGCTAAGACAATCATCTTTCTCATCCTTGTCTTGCTTAACAACTACTCACGGCCACTCCTTGTGACATTCGACCACACACTGCCGTTAACTTTTCGATTTGACTATCTCTTTCAAATACATTTCCCAACGAATTTTCACATAAAAAATATATCAAACTAAAGCTAGGAGTGAGGGGATTCCGTATCTACCTGAATTGAGGCCAAAAAGTGGTCGGAGGTGGCCGGAAATTGGCTCGGAAGTCTCGGCATGTTTGGGTTTCTTCGAATCGATGACAGATTCGAGCATGCAAAGCTTCGATCTGTGTCCAGGGATGGAGAGCAGTTTGTTGGTGGTGCTAACCTCATTTAATTTGACGAGGTTTAGCCGGAAAACAAGATGGAAAACCTTCAACTTGTCGAAAAAAAATGGAGATGTAAGGTTTCGTCGAATAACACAGAGCTAGAGCGAGGGAGAGAGGGGAGAGAGACTAGAATCGAGAGGGAGTTGGACAGAAAAAAGGAGAGATAGAGACTGGAATTGAGATGTCTAATCTGGGATAATGAAGGGTGGGACGGAGAAAGGAGAGAAAAAGGGGGAGAGTGACGGTGAAAGAAGGAAAAGAGGGAGAAAAATATAGGATAATAATAAAATATTAATATTTATTAATTAAATAATATAATATTATTTATCTTGCTTTTTAGTCCAACAGAGCATCAAACACTTCACTAAGCTAGTCCAGCTTAGTCTATTCTAAGCCGGTCCAGCTTAATCCCTCAAGTTAGTCCAGTCCGAGATAGTCTGATGTAACAAACGCATCCCAATGGTTTTGGATGAGACACGCTAAGACCAGCTAGCCCTATTGTTAGTCGAGGCGAGTCCTCCCTAGTACCACTAATGTTAGTCCCGAGAGCAAACAAACACGGATTGCACTAAATCTTTAATCCAATCCAGTGAGAGCTAAAGAAGGCAAACAAACTCCCCCTAAATTACAAGTTGGTAATTTAAGTCCCCGTGTGGCGTGGGTGAGCGGTGCTGCAACTGAAACTAAGAGTGAATGAGAAGGGAGACTATTGATAATGGCCAGTGGAATAGACAATTGGTGTCTTCTATTGTTGATGATGACATTGTTAACAAGATTTGTAGCATTTCGTTGCCTTTGGTTCCTCAATGTGACTCTTGATGTTGAAGACCGAATGCTAATGGTAAATTCTCGGTTAAATCTGCAACGTGAAACCGTTTAGCTAGGCATGTTAATCTTCCCCATTAGCTAGGCATGCTAATGGTAAATTCTCGGTTAAATCTGCAACGTGAAACCGTTTAGCTAGGCATGTTGACTCTTGATCTAAGGATCTTTTAAAGAGAATGTGGAACCATAATCTTCCCCATGAAGTAAAAGTGTTTAGCTGGCTCCTCATTCTGGGTAGGCTCCACACAATAAACCGTTTAGCTAGGCATGTTAATACTATCCCAACCATTTGTCCCCTCTGTAACTTGGAGGATGAAAGTTAAGTCACTTGTTTATAAATTGTAATTTTGCAAGGCAGGTTTGGAATAACCCAACTATTTCTAATTCTTTACTGACGAATCAACTCTTGTGTTCAACTATTGGCTTCAATTCGTACACCACAAGAGTGAAGATGACTTGTGTGATTTAAATAAGGCGCTTCTTATTTGCTGGTAGATTTGGATAGAAAGAGATCTCGTTGTTTTCCAAAATAAAAAGCCTTACTATACAAGAATTGTTATCTCCGCTATTAGGGCAGAGATCATCTTATAGCAAATCAAAAGTTGCCTGGTATTGCTAGTTGGCATGACTCTCATCCTAGTTCCATCTGGTGGTCCCCTCCGAGCGGTGGTTTTGTCAAGCTCAACTTTGATGGCTCAGCCGCTCAGTCATTAGTCAGCAAGCGGCCTCGGGTTTAGTGATCACAAATGAGAATGGCGAGCCTATCGTTGCAGGGGCTCGAAGTATTAGTCAGAATACCATCTCAGTTGCGGAATGTTTGGTGTTGCGGGACGGCCCCTGGATGGCTAAATCTGGAAGCTTTAAGCGGATCATTATTGAAAGCGACTGGAACCTTGTTATTGACTATTGAGTCTATCCCGGCTTTTATAACGTTCCTTGGAGACAGAGAACTATCCTGGAGGACGTTCATCGACTGGCGGGTTTCTTTGAGGATATTAGCGGGAAACATGTGTTCAGGGAGGCCAATTTATTGGCGGATAGCATCACTAGTGTTGGTTTCTCTGTTAATGATTTTCATATCTGGGATAGAACTCTTCCGATGGCTGCTCGTCAGGCCTTTCTCTTTGGTTGTACTCAAACGGGTTGCCCTAGGGGTTTTTCTCTTTAATTTAGTTATTTTCTAACAAAAAAAAATGTTTGAGTTAAATGTGTAATGTTAATTTGATGACTGATGTGTTAGCGTTAGATTTTCTATTTCTCAAACCCATATGTTTTTTTGTTTGTTATAAATGATATTTGTATGACTCATTTCTAAAAAGAAATCAATCAAAATAATTTTTAAGATTTATAATTGGTGCATTAATGGAAATCACACAATAAAATAATTAAGAAACTAATTGACATCACATTTTTTTCATATGTCAATCCACAGTTGGAGTTTCTTCATACCTTCAAATTTGATTGCTTGAGGTTCCACTTAAGATTCGACATCTCGTTTGGAGATGGTCATAAGGTTTAAAGTGATATTTAAATTGGACCATGATGTTTGTTTTATTTCTCACATTGCCCCTTAATGTTTTGAAGTTATAAACATTTTGTATATCTGAACGTTTAGGTATCTATTAAATTTATACGGTTTTTATGCTATGTGGTGCAAATATAGTTTACATGTCAAACTGAAATACGAAATTATGCCTAATGTAACATAAATTAAATAAAAATTCGAATAATTCAATAAATAAATGTGTAAATAGATATACTTTCAAAACTTTATAAAGCAATGTGGAAATTTAAAACCGCGTGACCATTTCAAAAATCAACCCAAAACATGGAGAGGGGGCTTTTGGTATCGTTTGGTATGTAGACGGGACGGGATGAAATGGAATGAGACGGGATGGGATGGGATAGGACAGGACGGAACGGAAAGGGAGCAAAGATGTCCTCGGATGGAAACAAGGAGGAAGAAGAATGAGACGAAGATGTTATAATTTTGTGTTCCACGGATGTGGAACAAGTCGTTCCAGGGGGTGAGGCGGAACGAAAATTCACCCAAAACTCGTCCCGTGGAACAACGTGTTCCACCCATTTTAGGCGCACCAAAAGTTGAACTTCCCATCGGAATCCCCCAAGTTGCAGGCGATTCATCGATCTTAAATCTGGCCAAATCCACCATTTGAACAGGGATTTCAATGTCATGGGTGTTCAGCGAGCAATTGATCGGGATTTCAATGTCATGGGTGTTCAGCGAGCAGTTGATCACACCTTCCATTGAATTGGATGTGAATTAGGGAAAATTCGGATGTGAATTGGGGGAAATTTGGATAAGGAAAGTGTTCGGGTTTAGGCCATCGCTTGGAAAATGGGAAATGTGAAGTCGCAACTCGACTGTGAGACTTTCGGCATTTTACGCCGTCGTTTACCTTGAGTGGATTGTATTTTTGGTTCCTAATACAATCCAATCGAGGCAAACAACGGCGTAAAATGCCGAAAGTCTCACAGTCGAGTCGCGACTTCACATTTCCCATTTTCCAAGCGACGGCCTAAACCCGAACACTTTCCTTCTCCAAATTTCCCCCAATTCACATCCGAATTTTCCCTAATTCAAATCCAATTCAATGGAAGGTGTGATCAACTGCTCGCTGAACACCCATGACACTGAAATCCCGATCAACTGCTCACTGAACACCCATGACACTGAAATCCCTGTTCAAATGGTGGATTTGGCCAGATTAAGATCGACAAATCGCCTGCAACTTGGGGGATTCCGATGGGAAGTTCAACTTTTATCTACAAGCTGTATGTCATGCTCGCCCAATCCATAACAGATCCTCGTACCAGAGAAGTCCTCTCTTGGAAGGAGGACGATTTGTCGTTCGAAATAAAAGATTATAAGGGGTTCGATCTACTCATGGGCGCACTGTTTTTCAGGCATAAGAAATGGCCAGCTAGATTTTGCCACTACGTAAGCTTTCTGTTGTTCTTTTGAGTAATTGATTGCTAGATTAGTTGTTGGGTGTGTTTTTATGTTGAATTCTTGGGTACAAAGCCTCTTTTAGATTCAATTAGAAATTTCTGAGGCAATGAGGCTGCAGAAAGAAGAGTAATGGCTGTTTCAATCAAGCCATCTCATTTTGCTGTGGAGTGTATATGTGTTGAATGCCTTTAGATGCAAGAAAGTCTTGAACACTTACTAATGAACTCACCACCACCATATTGTAAAAGGCAGTCATGTTTGAGCTGGGTTTTTTAATTGGCCCATATCTTGTTTTCTTGATTTCTTTGATCATTTTCATGGATTTCAGCTGTTTAAATGAAGTTTAGGGAGAGAGTGAGAAGGGGGAGAGGGGGGGGGGAGGAGGGAGGGAGGGAAAGACTATACAGTTGACAAATTGGGTAGTCATTCTTCTTCTTTTACCTTCTTGCTTGTCCTGCTTAGCAAATGGTCATAATTATTTGTAGAGAGAGAGATAGAGAGAGAGAGAGAGAGAGAGTTGAATTTCAAGAGGCAGAGATAGGTTGCCTCAGATCCAGGGAAGTCTAAGTTAATAAGTTGGAACAAAAGTTGCTTTCTTTGATAGGGTTGGGTTTTCCCGTGATTCTTGGAGCTTTGCCTTTGTTGGGTTTCTTTCTCATGACCCCCTTTTCTTTTTTCTTTTTTCTTTTTTCTTTGTTGTGTTTAGATAAGGGGTTGGTTCTAAATTTAATCGGATTTTTATATTTTTTTTTCTACTTAATTGGAAATATATGCATAGAACTGAACAAAAATTTCAAAAACTTCAGATTTATTCACAAGCGGATAGATCCAACAGTCACTCTCATTTGGTCACTTGTCGATTAACCTTGGTCAAGAGTTGAAACGATGGCGATGGTGCAAATTCTTCATAGTCATCTGTCCATGGGTGTTCGTAGCCTTGTTAAGCACAGTTCATGGGTGGATATTATCAGTAATATGGTGATTTATGTCTGTTAGTTTTCAAGTTGTAAGTATAAAGTTCATGGGCGTTCGCAGTCTTGTTAAGCACAGTTCACGTTGGTAATCATATAATCAGTAATATGGTGATGTATGTATAACGATATTGATTTATAGTTTCTACTAGTCTTCAAATTGTTCATCTTTCTCAATTCTTCATTGTTCTTTGATTTTTCTCAACGTAGTTAATAATTGATTGCTAATTTTTGTATTTTATTTTTTATGCCAACTATAGGGGATCAAATGCAAGTTCAATCACCCATCATTGCAAAGAGGGCAGCCGAATTGCCTTTCTCAATTCAACATGATTACGGACAAAGTTGTGGGTATAAAGTTACTTCCTAATTTGTTAAATTCATATTGATTCTTTTGAAGGCGGCAAAAACTAATATGTAATAAGAAGAGTAGTATTTGTTTGAAAATGATTAGTTTACATTTGGTACTTTTATACAATTGGGAAAGGAAATCTTTGCTCTCCAATGACAAACAATGGAAAGCTATCAACCACTAACAAGTACAAAACTGATTAGCAGAATGTTTAACAACTAATACAACTTGCTCCTATTGCTTAGCTAACTTTTTAATATGTTAAATCTGATTCTTTTGCAGCCAGCAAGGGTGAGGGAGAGGGATCCGCCAACTGAGAAGCGGAGGTGGACTATCTAGGTACGAAAATGGGAAAAAGCCACATCCTTCTTCTGTGGGAGGAGTGTGCAATTGGTGCTCTTGGCACAACTGTCTATAAACTTTTTTGTTTGTTAATAGTTTGAGTTTCTTTGTCTATTTTACAATGATAGAATAGAAATATGTAGCTGGATGGGTATGGCCCTTTGTTTTCGATGGCAGTGGGTAAATTTTTTTGACTTTCTTTAACAGTTAGAATAAAATTCAAGATTAACCAACTCAACAAATTGGCCCAACGACCATTTTTCTCTTTCCCTCCTTTCTTTTCCACTCTCTCCCCCCCCCCTCCTCTCTTCCCCTCTTTCTTTCTCTCTCCCCTCTCTCTTCCTCCTTTCGTCCACTTCTCTTCTCTCTCTCATCTTTCATCTTCCACTTGGCCCCACCCCTTTCGCTCTCTTCTCTCCTTATGCCCATTTTCTCTCTTTATAAATATATATAGGATAAATCTCAGTTTACTACCTTTAAATTTTGTGGTTTTCAACATTTGATACATGAATTTTTTTTTGTCCCAGAGTCATACTTGAAGTATTAATTTTAGGACAGTCTCATACATCATTTAGTCTGGCTATTAAGTATCTCGTTAACTGATGACGTGACGCCCATGTGGATAATGACTGGGCACCACGTGTTTTTAAGGAGTCCACGTGGAAATTAAAAATTCAAAAAAAAAAAATCCCCTTTACTGTCTCTCAACCTCTCCCTCTCTCCCAACTCTCTCGTCCATCTCCTTTCTAAAAAGTAGAAAATCGATGACGGCAAAGCCACACTACCACCACCGTAGCCAGTAATCAATACACAAAATCATAAATTTCTCAGTTAATCCTCTGTTTGGCTAGCCAAAAATACAGAGCCCCAACTTTGTTTTCCTCAAGAAACCAAATAGCCTTAAATCACTCGCATTTGAGTTCAAAATTCATATCTCGGCTTCTTGGAGACAGACATTTCGAAACCCTAGATGGTGATCACAAATCTCAAGTTCTGGACTGGCAACCAAACGACGCCGTTGATGTTGATGAAGCATCGATTTCAGACTCAGAGCCTAAAACTACGGCGTGGCCTGAAGAGACTCTTAAGAAACCAAAGGAAAGATTGAAGGGCAAATTAACTAGGTTTGAGTAATAGACAATTGGGTGAATGATTTTCTTCAATTGCTTAACTATTCCTCATACAAAGATTATATACAACACTTTACAATTAATACATATCTACAATTTATGGCATGCAAGCCGTGATCCCCAATTCGTGGGATTGACCTAGGCTAGGAAAGGCATGTAACTTTTCCCTGATCTGTGGGATTTCACCTAGGCTAGAAATTCATAATACAATTATAATAATATTTCCTTAATAGAGACACCGATGCTCTCATCAACATCGTCTACAAGAAGGCCATTTCGACAATGATCAGTGAAAATCTCGACAAATGCAATGAAATCAGAAGCTGAAATGATGTCGTGGCCGTGTTGGCGACCAAATGACCACGGAGAGGACGAGATCGCATCGAAGAAAATGGCGTTTAGGGTTTTAGACAGAGAGAGTGGAGGTGAAGATTGTGGAGTTTTAGAGAGAGAAATAGAGAAAAGAGAGAGGAGAGATAGATAGATAGAGAGGAGAAAGGTCTCTGCAAATTCAACCCTTGCAGATTATGAAACCGAGTCCTTGAGCACAAAAGTTAACACTTTTAACTAACTGATCTACAAGCCACTTGCACATTATGAAACCTTTGAAATGAATTTTTCATATTTAAGATCTCTAATTTCTATATGTAATCAACATATGAAAACAACAAATTGCTACTACTAACGGGCACATAGTAATTCAACTATGTTTTTGTTTCTCAAGCTCTCATAAGAAGTTGCGGTTCATTCTAAATATATAAAATCATAAGGGAAAAATTATTCAAAAGTGTAGGATAATATTTTTGGATTGTCAATAACAACACTTTGTTCAATAAAAAGATAATGACTACACTTTATTACTTAAACATGAAAAATTGTCAATAGATAAAAAAAAAAATCCGAATTTATATTTAGACAAACTTGAACGTGATTTTGCAAGTAAATTCAAACTGAAAACAAAAAACCACTACTGAAAATGCCACATTTAACAACCTAATTAACGTTCGTTTGTTATTTAAAAGTAGACAAAAAAAAAAAAACACAACGAAAAAAGGGGGAAACTATCCACTACTTTATGTTGAGAGAGGGAATTGAACTTGGGTGGGCACGGAACCAAAAACCACAAGAAACCACTCTGCCATCTAAAGCATGGTGATACTAACAATGAGCGTTTACTATATGAAATACAACAATCTCATACACATATAAAACAACTTAATTTTTTTGGGTCCCCAAGCAATCACCCTGATGGCACTGGGCCGAGGCCGGGGCTGCGGAAAGGGAGGGGAGGGGGATTGGGAACTATACAGGTAAGCTTTTTCAATTTTTCTTTTTAAGTTTTTTTTATTATATTAAAATTTTGTCATTTTCATTAAATTTCAATTTTTTGTCATTAAATAAAATTATTAGGTAGTTTTTTGTTTAAAAAAAGTTTGTGGAAGCTCTTTTCATTAAAACTCTCTAAATATATTGGCTCTTGATGTCAACTTAATAGAATATAAATACAAAATGAATTAACTTATTTTGCTGTGATTCACCTATCTCTTGGTTTTTCAATTATTTGGTGATGACTATGTTGATTTGTGATTTTGTGGGAATTGCTCAAGTAAAATGTGTGTTGTCTAAATTGTTGCATTTGAAAATGCGATTGTGTTGCTGTTAACTTTAGAGGGAAAATTTCTATGAATATTATTCATGGTGGTTGTTCATTATAGTTTGAAATCTTGCAGAAGAGTGCGTGAAATTTTTCTAGTGAAAACTCTATAATTAAAATAGGAAAAATTAGTATCCGGTCCTTAGTTTTTACTGTTCATTGACTAAGACCTTATTAGTTCTCAAATTTTGATTCAAGTCCCTAGCATTAATGTGATAATGAATTTACTTGTTTATTATTTTTTAATATAAAAATTAGTAATTAATTTAGGGTTTAATACTCACACCTCTATTAAACTTCTAATTAATTTTCAATTCAAACATTTCCAAAATAATAAAAAAAATTAAATTAAGTTTGTACCTATTAGTTTTTTTTATATATAAAAAGATTCTCAATTTTTTAATCTTAAATGTACCCATTCATATAATTTTTCAATTTTTTTAATCTTAAATGTACCCATTCTCAAATATATCAATTTGTTATATGTAAAATGTACCCTTTTTTTAATATAAAAATCCATTCAAATTTTTTAATCCATGTTTAAACTTATACGGGTACATTCTTTTTCGTTGATTTGAGAATGTATCCATGTTTTGGTACAATAACTTTTTTTGTTAATTTTGGTTAATGTACCCATACATATATGTGTATATACACACACACACACACACACACAATATAATAGAAAGTATAATTTATATTTTATTATTTTTAATCCCATGAATTATGGGTTTTGTTTAAAATCTCATTAATATAAACAATTACAAATTTCAATTTTTAATTTTTAATTTTTAATTAAAAAAATATAGTAACTTACATTATTACATTAATGTCAGGGACCTCAATCAAAAACTAAAAACTAACAAGGTTTCAATCAAAGATTATTGATAGCTAGGGACCGCATCCAAAGTGTCCCATTAAAATAATTCTACTTCCTATTCCTTACCCCCCCCCCAACCTTATCAAAACATTTTTTTAGGAACCAAAAATACAATTCAACTTTCCTTTTCTTTTGTTGTGAGTCATGACTTGCGCGATGCTTACCTTTGTATTCATAATCCAAACGAATTTGAAAGCACTAATTTGTGAGTCGTTGAGCCAATTAAAATTTTCCACGTGTTTATTGCCTTTTTTCCATTAATACTAGTATATGCCCACACACAGAATGTATGTGAAATTTTTTTTAGTTTTGTTTTTAAAATTGAAGGGGAGAGAGAGAGGGAGGGAGAGAGAACGTATGCCCACACAGAGTGTGTGAAATTTTATTAATTTTATTTTGAAAGTGAAGGAGAGAGGAAGAGAGAGAGAGAGAGAGAATGTAAGTCCACATACAAATGTGTGAATTTTTTTAGTTTAGTTTTTTAAATTGGAGAGAGGAAGAGAGAGAGGAAGAGAGAGAGAAAGTATGCCCACACACAAAGTATGAAATTTTAGTAGTTTTGTTTTTAAAATTGAATGAGAGAGAGAGAATGTATGCCATACACAATATGTGTGAAAATTTTTAGTTTTGTTTTTAAAATTGAAGGAGAGAGAGTGTGTGAAATTTTTTAGTTTTGTTTTTAAAATTGAAGGAGAGAGGAAGAGAGAATTTTTTTAATGAATGAATCGTATGGGCTGGATTGATACGTCTGCCTTACCAATTCGGCGGGTGCTCGGGATTTTCTCATTCGAATAGAAAAGGGGTTTCAAAGGAAGAGAGAGAACTATGCCCACACACAAAATGTGTGTGTGTAAAATGATTTAGTTTAGTTTTTAAAATTGAAGGAGAGAAATAGAAAGAGAAAGAATGGTATGCCCACACACACTGTATGTGAAACTTTTTAGTTTTGTTTTTAAAATATGACATGCAGCAGGCCCTGGCAATGACACACACATACTCTTTTTAAGGACGTGATTCTAGGGGTGGTTCGGTATGGGATCCCATACCGAAACCCTTGTCCCAATTCCCAAACCGAAATTTTCGGGAATCCCAATTTCAATACCGATCCCAAACCAAATTTTCGGGAATCCCAATTTTTGGGAATCCCGAAATAGTTTCGGGATTTCGGGACAAATCGGGAATCCCGAAATGGTTTTGAGCTTTTGGACTAAAATTTGACATATTATGCTTTTGAGCTCAATTTGGCAATTTGTTTCTACTAATCTGCCAATCAAATGGCAAAGCATGTTTGTACTAATTTGTGCACAAATTTGAGTCCGTGTACACCAGTAAGTAAAAATGGATATAATAATGGATGGAAGGAAAAAGAAAGTCTGTGTACACCAGTAAGTACAATTGTAGCATAAAAAAATAATACGCCAGCTTAAATTTCTATATAGCACATGAATCTTTCATCTCAATGCATATGTGAACCATCCAGATGAAGAAATATTAAGGAGTGGCAAGGTATCAAATAATCAAATAATCAAATAATCA